TTGGTCCTTCCTAATTTGGCCCACATATGACGATGTATTCTGGGCTAATTTGAGGCAACATAACATTATTTGGTGTGGTAACCGAGCTAGCACTGCTTGACGTGTCACAACTACACTTGCTAGTACTCATTTTATCAGCATTCACTTTTGCCGTGGCTTCGGATAGCAATCTGTTTGAGCCTAAGCAGCACTGCTGATAAGACCACACACAACTATTTTGCTAAACCATTTAAAAGTCGCAGGCGTTAGATCTGTGTAAACTTCGTAGAACCATCCTTTGTACTCAATGCACTAAATTTCATTTTCCACAGGGTATCGACACCCTTGAAGTTGAAAATTGATTTTTCGTGCTGTTCAGCCAATAATCGTAGGTTTTCAAATAATATAAGCACAAACAATACCCAGAGACTAGAAAATTATGACCAAATTAAGTGATGAACTGTAAATTGTAAGGAACTACTAGAAAAACAACTAATGTACTCAAAGGTAAATTACCTTTGAATAAAACGACACTTGTCAAGTACTTTACTTGTAATAAATTCAACTAAAGTTAAAACAGCAGTTTTGATGGTAATTTACGATTAAAACAATAAAATCATCTCAGTGAGGAAAAATTCCAGCGTCTGTTTAAAATAAGGCACCTAATCAGTAGGTGGGTTTATATATCGAATGTTCTTGTGACTTCCATGACTTTCTGTTTATTTGTTCAGTAGTGAAACCGCGTTTGGTGGTTATGTTAGTGTTTTCACTGACCCAACTGATAATTTTTGGCCGACAACCCTATCTCACTTGTCTTTGAAATGAATTCAAAAGTACCTTGAATGTTTTTAAACGTGTAGGAGAAGCAGAATTATACTGGTTGTAGATAACACACTGATGACGTCCACATACAAAAAAAGGCATTCCATTTTCCTGTAGTTTGTTTTGGCAACACTGCGTGTAGCTGTCGACTCCAGAACAACATACCTGTTAAGGTAATTTTCGTTGCGAGTGAGATGTATTTCTACCTTAATTAAACAAATATTCAATCAAACAAGGAAATTGAATTATTTGGATGTAACTCACGATGATATGCATTCGAATATGCGTTTGCATTGCCAGTGTTCTAATGAAATATTCAATAATCCATAGCAGTTTTTTATGCTCTCAGAAATATTAGAAGATGGACCGGTATTGTTAACGGATATAGACTCCTACGACAGGTCTGTATGCTACCATATGTGACAAGCATACAGAGTATACTGAAGCTACGCGGGGGAATCATTCATATTCACATTCTCTGGACAACTTATTCCCCTAGGACATATGTGATGTACATCTGCTTCGTAATGTGTAACGTTCGTATGCTTATCGCTTACGTTGTCACTACTTAAAATAAATCAATAGCTGTTAATTAACGTCTTTATTAGGCAGTAAATTACAGAAGTGTTTGACGCGTAACTTGTAATGGACCAAATAATATATGAACTCAAAAATGATAGCAGAGTTATTAAGTACAAACTGTAATGTTAGTATATATTAGATAAACGTTATAAACACAACAAAAATTAGAGACGTTACCTGATTCAGCAGGTTTGCGCGTGTTCCGGTTGAGTTTGGTACTAAAATCCACAATTAGAGATGATTGAATATTCCAGTAAGATTGATGTCCTTCCAATGACATAACGAAACGTAGAATATGGTATAATTTGGTTGTAGTCTGCAAATGTAGACGGTAGTTGATTTAGAGTTCAGTTAACACAATCACGAGCAATGAAGGTCTACAGAACTATGGTCTACAATAATATTAGTACTGCTCTAATAACAGACCTAATCCTAAATTTGTAGATTTGTCATGATACAACTGCCTAATCTATAAGATCTTACGTGGAAGTCACACCATCGACTACACCAACTCACTGTATCGTATCAATTACCAATACATGATGTAGAACAAGGCTAGGCTAGAGAAAGAAAAACATATTTAATATGAATGTAAGATATAACGTAACACTCAGCAGGGATCACGCCTGCATGCTGAGCCATCCCGTTCGATCAACTCCAATTTATTCAATTCCTTATTCTTGCCTTCTCCATCGTAAGGTATTTCTCCGCGTTAACTATTGAATATCTATTTTCCGAGTAATCTCGTATTCAGCTTTGAAGATTGTGTGGTTATGGTCCATTGCCACTAGAGATCAAGAGGTATGTGTATAGCAGTGTATTTGTTAGTAGGTTACAGCGCGTGTCGTTCTATGAGTGTGACACGACGGAAGAAAGTGTGTTCGACGTCATACACTTACAATCATTTAATGGTAAATGTACAGGCTACGGAAAACGAACAGACCGAATACAAATAACATCAAAAACTGTTTACAAAACAAGCTTGTTGTGCATATCTCCACAAACTACACCAAACTTTAGTCTAACCCAACTATGTTCCAAAGCCATCATGTAGACATCCTTCAAAAATCAATAGTAACGTCTCACTAGTAACGAAATCCACCACCAAATCTAATACTTAATATATCTAAAGTATTCGTGGTGATTTTATACCAATAAACTGTTCTTTTTCCACTCTCTTCTTGTTTTAGCGAGGCTACGGTACTTTTATAATGCCCGTCAGCGATGGTGATGTTAAATTAACAGTAAGTTTACTTTTATGGCAAGAAAGGACAGTTTGTTCACTTACTTCTCTGCAGTTTCATGATGTTTTTAAAAATGCCATAGATATTCAGGGTTTGAAAATGCTTTTGTACCTAGCACTGTTATAATCGAAAGTAATTAGCTCAGTCAAACCAGAAGTCAGGCATGAGTGAGTTCAAAGATATGTTACAAATGTTACCCATAAGTTGATGAGCGTTTGACCTAAACTGTCTAGTAGTTGCAAGGGGTGCATAATACGGCGTACTCACTCATGATGTGGTAAGGATACGTGACCACGTGTTTTCATCTAGGGTTTTCAGTAACACTGCTGAAGTCAATATCTATGTCGAATGCCTGTGGAACCAACTATTACCTACCACGATCGAAAGCTGCACATTTTACGCCTCTGAAAGTTTGAACCACATCACTGCTGTTGTAGTGACACAGACGAGGACTTAATTAAAATATAGTGATATAGATGATCAATAGTATTGCACGAAACTGGATAGTGAAACTCATGACGAGAAGTCTGTAAGAGTAACGCTCATAGGAAAAACCATATATTTCGAGAGACGAAAGTAGTAATGAAGAACTAGTAATAGGCATTCATTTAAAGTTCGATTCGGGTAATTGTCACAAATGAAGCACACAGAACTAGTAAATATTCTTATCTGTGCTTGAAGCCGACAGTTTAAAGAGAAGTTTATTTAAACCAATTATCCTTCGTAGCTAAGAATTGCTAAAATGGCACATAGCAGTACTATATTCTTTGGCGAAATTCTTTCTTCAGTGAAGCAAACAGAGAAAAATGTAAGTGGGCAATTAGTTGACTGCCGAAAAAGGTACGGAGGTATTACTTAATTGACAGGTGGTATGTAATAATAAGTAGTGCAAATAAATGACCGATTTTGAGTACGATTGTGATGTTAATGCAGAATGAGAGAAAAGGGAAGGTATTAAGGTGATTTTGAAATAATCGTCAGGTTTACTATTCATGATACTTTCTTTAGTAAATACTCTCTGCAACATAAATTTTATGAAACGAACGTTAACTACGATTGTTTGACAGAGGTTTCGAAAAGTTTTGATGTCTTACCCTATATAATCTTCTCACAAATAGTCCACTATAACATCACCATCACACTCCACAAAGTTACCATCCTAGATTCACCTTCTTCGGATTGCACTGCCTGTTCCTGATGCTTGTCTCGTAATTTACTTAGTTTTATTATTGCCAGATATTCTCGACATATTCCTGGCTTACTTGTCATCACAGTAACCCTTGAATTTCGGATTCATTCTACTGCCTGAATAACTGTCTAGATTAGTTGACTTATTTATTTATTTACTTATAGAATCAGTTGTCTTCTCTTAGTATTCAAAAATTAAAAATTTTCTTTCCACACTGCAATCAGTCAACCTTCTGCTTCTTAGTGTGATAGCCATTGATTTTGAAACCTTACTGTCCTGTAATAGATGCGCTCATTCAGATTGTAAAATATACTAAGGTGGATCTCAATAAATGAACTTGTTCAAGACATGACTATACTCAAAAGTGCTGGTGATACACCAAAAATATTAGCGCCACAAACAGAAGTGTCTTTTTCTGAGTGAAGCAAAACGGTAATACATAGCACTTGCAACAAAATGGTATATTAAATAACAAAAAAGTAACAAGTTTTATGAGACGAACTTTATTTGTGAGCTCTTTCTGAGATGACGTAGTGAGAAAGATTAAATGCGATAGCAATACTCAGTAATGTATCTGAACAAGGACTCCGACGCAACATTGAATGATACAAAAGAATGGTCTAACACTACTTTAACTATCACTCGCAGGCCGTGACCATTAAATTAGAAGGATAGACGACGGAGAATGCGTTTATTTGAATGACAGTGGTAGCGTGTGTGTTAGTACTGCCTGTAGTGTTGGTTACTATGCTAAGCCTATACACCTTATTCTAGCTTCTGACCGGGTTAATTTATTCATTCTTCTTAAGCCATGTTCTGACCTTGGTAATTATTCACTTATCAACCCTGACTGTTCTTATATGAGCGTGTGTGTACTTTTTGTCCTACTCATCTAATGTCTGCAGCTTATTTTTGTATGACTATAAATATCGCTTAACACTTGATTAAATGGATTTGGCTCACTCGCCCTCCCCATCGCTCGCCACTTCGGTGCGTTCTCTTCTCTTCGTTCCTTTAACTGTAATACAAACCCACAAATGACTACCACAGTAGCTAAACTCAGTGCAATCGATTGACTAGACTATCATCAATTGGACATCTTCAAGCACTGAGAACCATATCAAATATTTGAGAAGTTAGTACAAAGAAATAAATAGGTATGTACAAGCTCATCTTAAAGATATTGGATATTGGTTAACCGAAGGTCAACTTTCATTTCGTTGTGGATACATAATTTGAGGTCGTTGTAACATTTTGAAAGATCTGGACATGCTAGGATTTGGTGAACAGACAGAAAATTCTATTCACATTCGTGACAACTTGAAAGCTGAAACTCCACTATTGAATAATGCAAAGCGCAAACTAGGATTAAGAGATTTGAACATTCAGCAGCATGTTCATCTGCAGTCAGAAATAATGCGACCCCCTAAAACTGTAGTTCCTGAAAACGTATATAAGGAAGCATGTGAGAAATTCTGTGCATATGAAGATAAAGGTTGTGCTCATACAGAACAGCTTTTATTTCAGATGACTACGGTGATTTATGCACACGCCTTGATAATATAAACTCACTTGTGGATGGAGTGATTTCTCTTTCCTGCATGAGTCATTCTTCAGATTTCGTTGAATTTTCAATGAATGGTGAGGTCTGTTGTTTTTTACTAGTACTGGTAGACGATGGTGATGAATTTGATCCATCAGATTTCGAAATACCAGATTCTGAATTCGACACAATGTTCTGTTGTCTTGGCTAGAAAGTTATTATGTCGATCTAATTCGTTCTCAGAAACGCTTTAGATACAAGTATCTCACTACTGAGTGTCAACTCCAGTTTGTTCCCATTCAGCCTATTTTTTGTACCATTTACGTTTGTGTACCCTTTTTAACCTGTCAGGTTGCAGCGGTAGATATTGTAAGCTGGAACGTCAATTAAATTCTCTTTAATATGCTGTATAATCTTCTTGGCTTTATGAATATCGGGTGGTAAGCGAGGCACTTAAGTATTCTACACACAAGTCAATATTGCACTATGAAACCGCCTCACTTTTGTTGATTAAAAGATTCGTCAATCTTGATTTTAGTCCTTTTGATATTTCGTGCTATAGGAGGATCCGTGCGTGTATTTGCGTTATCTGCAACCAGTGTTTTACGTTATTTGAAGTTTGGCTGTTGGATAGTTTGTAATATTATTCTCTGTTTAACCCAAGGTCACATTTAAGTTATATTCCGAATAGGAGTCAACTGCTCTCAACAGAAGGCGTATCTGGAATGGAAAAAGAACTCAGTGTTGGTAAAAATCTCTTACACGACACAGGTGTCAATATAATGGCTCGTGAAACTATGCGAATGCCAGTTTAAGTGATTTCTCATTCTTCCTTGTGTTACATTGCTGATTTAGTTATCCCTTACGAAGCACCTTAATGGTACTTTTCAGAGACATGACTAGGTCCCTATCTTTTACTATAAGGATTCAACAAATGACTTTTGCTTACAAGCAGCAGTAAACGTGATGTACCCAGAACTGATCATTTCAGTTCACATTATTACTGTACGATTGTGGTCTCGTTTGGAGTTTACGGTTATTTGCGTCTTTTTTATCGTCGTGAATTATAATTTAAATGATGTCAAACTTCTCAGCATCCGCTCTAGATTTACTTAGTTTTAGATAATCTTTGTAGCATGATTAGTGGAGAAAGTAAGCAGACGTCTAAACATTTCCTACAAAAGTTACTTCATTCCACTTCTTTTATGTAGTGTACTAGTATACTTGCTGTAGCTAAGTTGCCTGATGTTGTTCATGTCTCTGTCTGTTGTGATTAATTGATATATTGTGGAATCTTTTGATATTCTTATTTTAAAACTGATTGCTGGTAGATGTTCCTTTACATAAAAGTTAATAAAAGATAAGGCCATTTTGATAGGTAAATATCTTACAAATAATCATTCGAATCTTGACTCATACAAAATTCCAAAGGTGTTTATATTTTAGTGCTCTCATCGATTATGTACTTTGTGATTGTGAAGAACAGTGCATGTTTTAAGCTTGCATGGTTGCTTAGGAAGAACGGTTTAGTTCTGACATTTAATTCTGATTGGAAACAAAATTCAGTCGTAATGTTTACGGGTTGCTTTTCTCTTTAAAGAACGATGCTAAGACTTACAAATAGCGTGGATTTCCTGGTATCTTTTCGCATTATCCTGGCATACTTGTTATATTTACTGGTTTTTCCGTCCACTCTTAACTACAAAAACCTATCGGAGTCAAGTGCAAAATCATGTAAAGTTTATCACGAAAATTCTGTACACATAAACCACGAAATCATGAACTAGAAAACATTTACACGAACAAAGTTCTCGGGAGATGCTTTCACTTCACTTCGATAGTCCTGACGTTAGGTTTGTTAATTTAGTATTTTGGCGATAGAAAAACTCAAGATCTCAAAATATTGACGGAAGTCAAGGTGTGCATTTTGTAATTGAGGTATAAGCGTCACATCATAACCTATTAGCATTCAACCCTCTTAATATGAAGTGATGAGGAAGGTTCAGCACGTTAGCTTCATTTATTGACATATGTTTTGAGTACAAATTTAACCAAACTTCACAACTGGTGAAAACGTCTTTCAGGAATTGTTGCATGCAGCAACAGACGTTCTTCGAAATTTTCTATCAATTTTCAGATTTGTTGCGTAATGACCTAATTGTATTTTACCGTGATGTCATATTTTATATACTAGGTTACGCAGTTTTAGCCACCAATAGTATTTACTCATCGCCTGTTTGTTTTTGTGGTTGGTGGTATAGTATTGAAGTAGAAAACAACCAGTTGTTGAAGTTGAAGACAGAAGACCAACAACTCGCTTCAGCGCTCACTATGCGGAAAATTGAGGAAGCTCCTCAAGAATGGCTACCCTAACAGCTTCACCGTAAAGTATCTAATGAATTACCACCATTAAAGAACCAACTCCGGAAACTAAAAGATGTCGTTCAACCATGTATGAGAAATGTTTCGAAAACCAGTACAAGGATTCTGAGGCAACATCGTTTACAGAGCAGTACGATCGCTTCATTCTATTCTACACAGATCAAAGACAATAACGAAAAACCCACTATCTGCAAAATAAATTGCATCAACTTCAAAAAATATTCGATTTGACAAGCGGTCGTCCCCTTCACCTATGTACAAATGAACATAGGTCAACGGTGGCCCGGCATAATTTCCTATCACTTATATTAGTGCATCCAGACAACTATGGAGATCAATTCAATCAAAGAAACATTAAAACTAGGATCGAGAAAACTACGAAAATGCCAGCCAATTTCTCAGGAAATGGCATTTAGACAGATTAGCTATCAACAGAAATCGGTATAGACCCGATCTGTGAATCTTTATGTATGTGATCAAGGCCAAGAGTCAACTGTTAGAAATAATTACCATAAATACAAGGACACATGACGGGGAAAATATCTACTAATACACCCAATAACAAACAAGGCCATCGGAGAAAATCGATGTAGCACTTGTTGAGCAGCCGAAAAGTCCACTTATATACACAATAGGCTCTGGAGGTGTTCAAAGTGACAACGGGAATTCTCTGATGCCATCAAAGAACACCATCAAAATCGTCGGCCTGAGCTGCTGATCTTCATAAACTGCAGTGAATGGAATACGTTAGCTCTTTCTAGACGTCATGTTATTTGATGTTATTTTAATGAAAGTTAAATTATAGTGGAGGATTGATCACAAGGGATGCACTAAGGCATGGATGGAACCCATTTATTTTGTGAGTCTTTCTGAGCTGCAGGACTCGTTGATGAGATCTAAGAACCGTAATTACTAATTAGAGACTAGGTGACGTATTCTTCACCTCGTTTTAGGTAGTTTGTTGCCTATTATTCCATCTTTTTTGTGTGTAATTCTGTACTATGGTCGATGTGGACAATGATTTGATATAGCAACCAAACAGACTAGCACATTGTTGAATGCCGCCTCAACTTGCTCCTGTATATGTAAGAGGTTCATACCGAGAGCTCTGCGCAAATAGACCAAGCCTGAAAGGATGTTAGTCACCAGGATTCGAGTTTGGATTGATTTCTTGTGCTCCAGGTGAAACGTATGTCAGACCAGACCGTCGTGAAGTACCAAATACCAGTCATTGGACAAGACGTACTTACTTACTTGACTTGATTGGCTGGCATGCTCCTTGTCACTATGTATATGAATATTTAATCATCCAGAGGGACATATACAGAATGAAGAGGTTTTTTCATATCTCTACTGGTTGTCCTAGTAACATCATAAAGTACCAAGTACTCAAAGATGTGTTAACTTAGTATGATTACATGAATAATGTCTTAGCATGTGTTACATGTATGCTTATTAGTGTGAAAAATCAGAAATGTTTTACAGGAAACAAGGCACTGAACTAGCGGGTAATATGAACGTAACTCGAAACAAGATTCCTGTATAAACCGTAACAGTAATTGGTGGGACGTCTTTATCTAGTCTTCCTCTGATTTAATTATGTGACAAAATATTTACTAATCATAACTCAAATGAAGAAATTTACACTTCCTGTTAAACTTCTTTTCAGACATTTACATCTCGCTTACGTTTAGAAATGGTTCATGTAAATGCATCTATTTAAATAAACTTGGATACAGTGAAATGAACTAATATAGAGCTACCGTGTTACGGTACGTTTATCTATGAATTTAGTATTCACCTTCCTAATGGAAATTTATTTTATTCATAGCATTGACCAAACTAATTTTAAGTCCAAGATTGTAACTAAGAAGCTTTATCGTTGTATATTTTCAATAAAGAAAGTAACAATCAACTGGAAATAAGTTGTGTACATTTTCACTATATTCATTGTAATCAGTCTCAGCCATAATACGGGCGCTTCTGTATGCTTCCTAAAAAGAAAAAAAACAATTTATTTACTGACTTATTGAAGTCCAAATAATTATAAAGAAAGATAATCTCAAATTATGATTTTCATTGTATTAGTTTTAAAGAAACGTTGAAGACTAATATACTAGGGTATTGCATAACTATTACGAATAACTATAAAAAGGCACATCAATGGATAACCCGAATAGCCAACTTGAAAATTCGATTGCGAAGTTGTTAAGTTACGCTGACACGAGTATAGTTTTCTATCCTTTCAAACTTTTCAATTTTTTCGTTATTTCTGTTATAACTTGCAAAGAGAGTGTGACAACAAGATTCATACTTATCGGTACATAAAAATAACATATATATATATATATATTCTCTATACTGTTTTACTAAAATGGAGTTTACAGCTTGCTAAAGCAATCGGTTTTTTTCTCTATCAATCTAACTTAGTTTATTTTACTTAGTCATCCGTATTTTGAATCTCGTTTTACAAATTACGAAACCATAATTTGCATAAAGTGAAACCGATTTGGGATGTATGATGTAGTCTACAAAAATCGTGTTACTTTCAATTATTTTGACGGCGTGAATTTACAGTACGTTAAAAACAGCATAGTGCATTCATTGATTGTAATGACGATGGGGATTATAAAAATAATTGGAACGTTACTGAATTAATGTCTCTGATAGTTTCGCGCTTTAAGGACAGAATTTTAATACCTAACAGAACATTGAATTCGCTTACAATAAATCATAGTTAAGGCTGTCAGTATCTCAGATGCAGGATAACAACTTGTGCACTTTGCCTTCTCGAAAATTAAGCACCTTAAGGATCTAACCTTCCTCACTGTACAGACAAATCTTCAGAAGTATGTAATTTTCTACCTTTCATTATTTTATAACTACAGTAAGTATATTTAAATTTGCATGAACCTTAAACGCAGTACAAACACGCATATCTGTACCTGTAGTTACATACTATTGTTAAATTTTCAACGAATTACTTTGTAACAATCAGATGGCATTTTTCAAGCTGATATGATTAAAGTAATGTAGACAGCCTTCGTCGGTGAGCGCATTTATGTTTAAACAAATAGGTCACTAGAACATATTATTTGAATTTTTACTTGCAATTCAAATTCAGCTGTATGATCCGATAAAATAAATTCCCTTAACATTTTAAAAAGCAACCAACTAATTAATTACTTGGATTATTACTTTTTGAGCGAATGCATTTTCTCAACCAAATGTCAATTAAATCTTCAATGTACGGATCATTTGTACGATAATCGATCGCGTCTCTAAAAGCATTTCTTGCAACTTCCGATTCCATTTGACATATAGCTGTGACTGAAATAACAGAAAATAAACACAAAAGTGGTTGTGTATGTTGCGCAAATTCCGAAGTACTTCACGACATTTGAAAGATGACAGAAGCTGTATAGAGGTGCTTTCCGGAACAATTAATATAATATGTGTTTAAGAAAAAAAAGCCATTATTAGCAGTGAAAATATGCTATATTTTGGGTGAGTTCCAAATTGTCATATTTATTTATATATAATGCCAACTTTCTCAACAACTAATGATTTATTTAGTTGTTATGATTATAAAGTGTAATTACAGATTGTTGAATTAACACATTATTAATGCGTAGCTGAGATTGTTTTCTAGTGCAGAATATCTATGTCATCTACTTAATGAAACTACCAGGGAAGTCTTACTCACTGCCTTCTCTCAATGAGAGTGCTTTTTACGGAATTTAGTAGGCAAAAAGCAAATATTCGGCGCTTTAATCGGGTTGGTGGACACGGAGGGTCCACCTCGGAAAGCTGAAAAACCCTGATTCCAAACCAATGGTGCACACGAGCTTCAGGATCCTGAGTGGACAAAAGACATGAATCTATTGTCGATCACCGGCTACCATAAGACTGCATCTCCTGACGCTGCTCCACTGACTTGTGGACTAGACTTTTAGGTCAAGACCACCGGGTGTGACCTCCTAAGAAAACCACCGGCTTCGACTTAGGAACCCGGGTAGTAGTATCACAGCCCTAGCACAACCCAAACGATGATTACTACCGGAAAAATTAGTATTGCTTCAACTCTTATTCAGACAAACCTTACAATCATTTGATAACATTCGTTCTTATTTCTTTTATACTTATGTATTCCCCTATGTTCTCATTTTGCGTTGTTTGTTTTTCAATTAAAACAGCAGCTTGATTATGGTGGAACCTCTGTCCCGTCTAAATGACATCGAATCACTGACTGGTCGAAAGTTGAATGCTACCACCGACTAAGAATACTGAAACCACATATAGCATTCAAATTGGCCTCCCTCAACGTTCTCACAATAATGCAGATCGGACAACAGATATAATCGGCTGTCTTTAAAAAGTCCTAATGTCGATGCCTGTTGTCTATTCGAGACCATTATTCAAGGCTCTAGTGAAGTACTACAAATTCTCTCTCCATCTTTTGCTTTGAAAAGCTCGTTTCGCTTGCATTTATCCGGAGACCCTGTGGCATATTCGTCCGGTTTTGTTGGCGTTGATGCCGCACTAAACGCCAGAGCTGAGGCAGCACTGATAGATTGGACCCCATTGAAAGTCGGTTATATGCCGTGAGATTAGAAAGTTCATCAAAGCACGGAGAAATCGGTGTGAGAAACGATGTCTTTTCCTCATCTCCGCATACGTTTCGAAATATCGCAGCCTAGATGCGATCAATGATGAGTTTCGCCATCAATTAACTGTCCTTCTACAGAGGATTCGTCTGACATGTATTGTGGTACTAGCTGGAGAGTTTGATGCTCAAAAGAGGGTCGTTTCGGTGGCTAATGAGGACTTGTTGGTCTCAGGTCAGATAACGGTAACCGTCTACCGCAACTGTGCGCGGACTACAAACTATTTCTCGTTAGCATTGACTACCGACACAGTCATCGCTGGTGTGCCACCTGGTGCCCTCTTTCTTCATCTCAAGCCTGGACTCAGATTGATCACATTGCAACCAGCTACCAATGGTGTGGTTGTGTACGAGACTGCCGCTCCTTCTGGAGTACCTATCTGGATTCTGACCATGCCTTGGTCTGCGCCAATCTTACCTTACTCTTCAGTGGCCAACGAGGTGACCGCCACCAGAGGATTGATGTTAGCAAGTTGGTTGCAACATCTGTTGCAAGTAAGTATCGAATCGAGCTAGCTTCTAGGCTAGCTACCATTCCACCGAAGAGTATAGGTAGGTATTCGTCGCAACTGCATGACGCCATGAAGACGGTGAGTAAAGCCGCTTGCGGTTTCGCGAAACGTCCTGCTCATAAGCACTGGGTTTCTTCAGGCTCCTTACAATTTATCGAAGCCCGTCGGTCTACTCCGCGTGACCGTGAGTTTGACCATAAACGAAGGATCTTACGTAATGAAATCGGTCAAAGCTTGCGTAAGGAACGAAAAGCCTGGTGGTTGGACCGTGCCAATGAGTTGAAAGCAGCAGCTGCATGTGGTAACTGCTGAAAGCTCTTTCAACTCATCCAAGTCACTGGCAGCAGAAGTTTGGTGTGAGTGAAACATTCTGTGAAGATGACGGGTTGCCAGTTGATAACATCTGTCGACGTCTTGAACGGCGAGCAGATTTTTCCGAGGAGCTGTTCAACTGGTCTGCTACCCCGGTAACACCGATCAAACTGTCCTACCTTGCATGGCCTGTCACGACTGACCCGCCTAAAGAGGCTGAAGTCCGCAAGGAACTCCAACTCTTGAGGCGCTACAAACCACCAGTCCCATGTGACTTACCTCCGGTCATTTTTAAAATGGTGACTTTCTGGTCAAGGAACTGACGACGTTGTTTCCAAAGGTCTGGCAATTGGAATTTTCCAACATCGTGAAATGAGTTGATAGTTGTTCCTATCTTTAAAAAGGGTTCACACCGTTTCTGCAAGAACTGTCGGGGGATAAGTCTACTTCCGATTGCGTTTAAACTATTGGCTCCGGTCATACTTCGTGGGTCGTTCAAAACCCGAGAGAGATCGGCTCGCGAGGAGCAGTCTGGTTTTCGTGTTAGTCGAGGATGTATTGATCATATCTTCACACTCTGCCAACTGTTTAAACACCGTCACACTTATCACAGACCAATAATCGTAGTGTTTCTTGACATTAGGGCTTCCTTAGATTCGTTGGACAGGACTGCTCTCTGATATTGTATATTGAAAAAGGGTGTGCCTGAGAAGTTTATTAACATCCTAAAAGCCCTATATACAAACACTTCAGGCAGAGTGAGGACATACAACCACCTTTCTCCATTATTCCATTCGAGCAGTGGGGTTAGACAGGGTTGCCCAATCTCACTATTCCTCTTCAACTTTGCCATCGATGACATTCTGGAAACAGCTGTGATAGATGTAAGTAATGGCGGTGTGGATCTGTTGCCTGGAGAGACTTCTCGACCTTGAGTATGCGGTTGCTATTGTCTTACTGTGCGATAATGCCCAAGGCATGCAATCCGCACTTAATCAGTTGGCAATCAATGTCCATAGGTATGGTATGTGCTTTGCACCTTCGAAGTGCAAGGTACTTCTACAAGACTGGCAGGATTCTAATCCTGTACTCTCCCTGGATGGTGAGCAGATAGAAGTAGTTGAGAAGTTCGTGTATCTAGGTAGCTGCATAAGTGCTGGTGGTGGCGTCAGTGATGAGATCAATGCACGTATAGTGAAAGCCAGGGCGGCTTATGCCAATCTTGGGCCATCTTTGGCGACTTCATGATGTCAGTCTGGCTGTAAAACGTCGGATCTACACCGCGTCGGTGATAGCAATTTTGCTCTATGCTTGTGTAACCTGACCTCTTCGAGTTGAGGATGATAGATGACTCTGATTTGATCATCGTTGTATCCGAAGGATTGCTGACATCCACTGGCAACATCATGTCAGTAATGCGGAGGTCCAGCATCGTGTGTTCTGGCACAGCGACAATAATTCAATTAGTGTCACCATCTTAAAACACCGACATCGGTGGTCTGGACACGTTCTACGGATGTCATTCCGACGCTGGTACTAGTTGGTAAAAGTGGAGGGGTGGTTAGTGTATGACATGGTGCCGCAGTATGAAAGAAAGCTGTTCAGGCTGGCTTCTGTTGGACCTTCACGGCTCCTCGGCTGGTATTCTTGAGTTGGTGCAACGTAGTGGTTAGAGACATTATCAGACATGGCTCAGAACAAAAGCCAGTGGCGATCGTACTGTAACCTTCTTTTACTTTCTTCATAAAATGTGGTTGTATCCTCCTTAACTGAAAGAATTCCTCTGGTTGTACCTTTCCGCTTCCCTCATTATTATTATTATTATTACTATTATTATTATTATCCCAGTTTCATACACTGATTTCTGTTCGTTTTTATTCTATTTTTCTTATATGCACTTTACTTTCTCTATCCGTTCACGTTCTCATTGTTATTGTGTAGGCCATACGTATTACATGCCCCCTTGCGCTAATGTTTATGTGTTCAAATAAATAAATAATAAGTTAATTAAACATCTGTATCTTGTTGTTTGTAATTTTAATTGATATAGTTCTAATGAATTAATGAATATTTAAGTTTCAATGGTTAAGATCATGAGTCAGTTGAAGCTAGACCACCATGGAAAACCTGGAAGCACTGGACGGCCGTTCCGTCCTGGTATGGGACTCCTCAGCAGTGCGCATCCACGGTCCCGCACCACGCGGAGCTCGAACCCGGGACCTACTGGCTTCGCGCGCGAGCACTTAACCACTAGACCACTGAGCCGGCATCTAACGGTGTTAATGTCTAACTTCAACTAATCCACGAAATTGAGCGACACATTCACCATTGTCTCCAGTGAGTTACTACCTCACAACAGACCTGGTTGAACTCCACTGGTCACTACTTCTCACTAGAACTCCAGGATATACCTCGTGAAGCCAGTCACTGCTGAGGAGTCCCACAATAGGACGAAACGGCCGTCCAGTGCTTCCAGGTTTTCCATGGTGGTCTAGCTTCAACTGACTCATGATCTTAACCATTGAAATTACTACAATCTCCACAAAAACCCATCGAATATTTAAGTGTTTAAAGAATTCCACAATTGTATTAAAGAACAGGGAATTGCTTTTATAGTCAATTCAGCACAACATATACATTTATTCACCTAATATATTACTATATAGAACAACTTTAATTTATTAGACATAACACAGTCCATAGTCTTTGAATAATAGTAATTCCAGTTTAATTATCTAAACTGTTTAGTTATTACAATAAGATTGATATTTAAATAAAAATCGAGTTATTTTTTTTAGTGAAACTAAAATAAATAGAGCATAAGCCTAGGAGTCATTTAC